TGGTAACAGTTTGTCAATATTGTGTTTATTTGTCATCCGTATTATGTTACAATATTTAGGTGGTTTTTGTATAGAGTCAAGGTGCTATACACTAGTGCAAGGACAATTTGATAACAGTTTGTCAGTATTGTGTTTATTTGTCATCCGTATTATGTTACAATATTTAGGTGTTTTTTGTATAGAGTCAAGGTGCTATACACTAAGTGCAAGGACAATTTGGTAACAGTTTGTCAATATTGTGTTTATTTGTCATCCGTATTATGTTACAATATTTAGGTGGTTTTTGTATAGAGTCAAGGTGCTTGCTATACACTAAGTGCAAGGACAATTTGGTAACAGTTTGTCAGTATTGTGCTTATTTTTCATTCGTATTATGTTACAATATTTGTTATCTACCTTTCAGTTTTATAGTAATTAATTAAAAATAAACTGAAAATACATATATTGATAAAGTAAGTTCCACCTAAAAAGACCTGTCATTAAAAAATCAAATGTGGTTCACATTACGGTTGATGGACCAAGTTTTCTATGAACTTCTCTCGTTGTTCTTGGTTTCCTGAAACCTTCATCAGGTCAGCATGGAGCCCAAAACGAATAAAAAACGGCAGGGAAGGTCCATAATAAACCTCAGTCCACGTCGCGGTTTGTCTGAGTGTTCATTACCGTACTGATTATGTATAATAACGAGTGTCTTAGTTATGACTTGTTTCTGGATTTCTGAAAACAGAAAATAATAGATATTCTTTTCATTCATGAAAAATTGTATATTTCAATTATTTTTAGTTTTTGGTTCGTCATATTATTTTTAAAATACATCAATTTCGAATAAACTTAGACAAAAAGTATTTGTCGGGAAAAGTTATAATTTATTAACGTGGACGTTGAAAGTCATGCTGGGACTGGGATTGCCTGATGGTTAGGACGTTCAACTCGTAACCTGTAGGTCACGGGTTCAAATCCTCGCCATCGAACATGCTGGCCATTTCAGTCGATAGGGCGCTATAAAGTGACAGTCAATTCCAATATTCGTTGGTAAAAGAGTAGCCCAAAAGTTGGCGGCGGGTGGTGTTTACTAGCTGCCTTCCTTCTAGTCTATTACTGCTAAATTAGGAACGGTTAGCGCAAATAGCCCTCAAAGAAATTAAAGACATTGCATTTGTACACGTACAGACTAATACATTTTAACAGGTAAGCCAGACCGGCAGACTCTTGTACAGGTTTTCAATATCAATATGATTCTTCAGGAATTAATAATGCCAGTCGAAGATTTAATAAGTTTCACACTGTTTCAGACTAATCGATAAGAGGATTGGGAAGAAATTTCTTAAACTTGCATGTTAACTCCCTACAGCGTAGTGACGTTTGGTTTTAATACTGTAATTACGAATAAGCGTAGCTACATTACCAGTATGTCTTAGTAGAAATATAAATGCAGTTGGTATATATATATGAGTGTGTGTAAGAATTTGTTTTGTAAATACATAAATCTTGGAAACCTGCAGGTGGTGTAGACAAGAAAGGACGACCTATATTATCCATCCCAGTGTGCCCAAATGTTACCCTTGAAGATCTAGTGGCTGTACTAAAATATCTAGGTTCCTTGCTTAGGTAAGTTTAAAAAGCTAGGAATTATTATTGTTTTCCACAAAATCTTATTTATAATGCTTTGAAAAATGATCATTGATAGTAAAACTTCAGTGGTATAGGCCCGGGGGGGGGGACGTTGCTTCCATACCTCAAATATAGATTATTTTCCGTGTTCTATCTTTGGGTGATTTCTTTCGAATTATTTGGTGAAACGAACAACGGATTAATCTATTTCTTATATAAGGCTTGTTATAGGTTATGTTCACTTTTACACAAATTATAGGCCTAAGTTCACAACCAACATTTTCCTTGTTAACGGTTACTGCGAAAGTGATGTTACCTACGCCTAACTGACAAATTAGGACTTTCTTGCAGAATTATCTTAAGCAACGTGCAGAGAACATGAAAAGTACAGGGGCTACTTGACAAAAAGAGCACTTTTCAAGAATCGTAAGGCAAGCCCCCTTATTTTTATTTTTTTATTTTTGGAGGGAGTGAAGTGTTATGGGTTGCCTTGTTATTTCTATTCAATCAGTCTTATAAACACTTTTAAAATCTAAAATTAAACAGTAAATTATTGCGAGTTAACACTCAATAGCATATCACAAGTATTGTTTTTACTATAAAGACATACAAATCCCTGTGTTCCATTCATTTTAAAGCTGGAATCTTTATTCTACCAAATAACTCATTGCAAGGAAAGTGTGAAATCATGTGTATCTTTTAGTAGTTGTAGACTAATTTTATGACTGAGGAAAAGGGTACCTTTGGGACATAAAGGACATTGCCATGAGCTCATACAGCCACCTCCCTGTGCACGTCACTGACTTTTTCGATAATCGATCGATAGATGCGACAGTTGTCATTACCTAATACTGAACTGGAACACTTAATGGTCATTTAATCTTTACGCACTAATTATTCGTATTTATAATGTACTCTTGTTTCTCGGAATTTCTAAGTTATTACATCATCATGAACTTTCTAGGCTTTTAGGACTACTTTTACGAACTTTCTAGATCAAGCGTTATCCTCACGATTAGCAGCTCCCTCTATGAAATAAGTAAATCATAACAATGAAAATAGAGCTTAAAACACTTTCTTATACATTCAAATGCAGATCAATCGGATTGTAATCATGTGTATAATATGGAACACTATATATAGAATGAAGTCTTTGTCGTTAGCTGAAATCTCTCTGAATTTGCATATACTGCTGCTTGAAAATAATATACCTCAAGCAATTATTCTTTTTTAGAATTTCTAATTAATTAGCAAACACGGTGGCCATATTAAATAATGGATATGTTCTGCTGGGGCTGAACTATCATATTAATATTAATACAGTACGTGTTTTTTCCTGGTTTTCAAAGTGATGCATGTTTTGGAAGTTAACCCAAATTTGGTTAATGGTGTTTTAAGCCTAAATGCAAACGAAGTGACAAAAGACGAATATGAAATATTGCGTTACTGAACAAAGAATTGTTCTTTCGTAAAATATTTTGTTATTGTTCTTATTGTTGAAATTCGTAAAACGATTGTGATGGAACTGAATTATAGTGCTAATGTTTTGATCTTGTTTTTCTCTGGAGAATATACAAGAATGCAAATTCATTAAAAACGTAAATAAAACTACATGTACAAAGTGATTATCAGTAGCAAATAGTTTTAGGTTTTGTTTTTTAGAAATTGTTTCTATTCTTTCCGCCCGATGTCAGCACCAACTTGTTAATTTGATGGCTGACTGCAAGGGAGAAAAGTAAAATAATCACCCGTCAGTTTTACTCTCAGTCGCTGAATTACCAATCTGAAAATATAAGATGTCAGCACCAACTTGTTAATTTGATGGCTGACTGCAAGGGAGAAAAGTAAAATAATCACCCGTCAGTTTTACTCTCAGTCGCTGAATTACCAATCTGAAAATATAAGATACCCAAATTTCGAAGAAAAATTAATATTC